GTGGGTGGGGGAGAGCCATGCCATTGCCCACGGCCACAGGACTGAATGCGAGGCTGAGCCACACCGTTCCAGAGCTGTGGTTTGAAGAGCTTTTGGGTGCTTTCGGGCCAGCGCGCTCTCTCTCTCATTCCCGTGTTGTGTCTGTCATGCCAAAAGCCTTACTTTGCATGGAGGAGAAGGAAGTGTGGACAGCTAGTCTTGCATACTTGAACCCACCCTGCTTTGACTTTCCATTTCCCGTTCCCTCCTGGGTGAGAGAGAAATGCCATGCTGGGAGGCAGTGACTGCCCACTTTTTGCAGGCCCCTTGCTGTGCCTAGATCTTATTTTGACTCTGTAGCCCATGGCCGGGCTCTGCTTTCAAACCAGCCGAGGGAGGCAGCTGGTCTCTGCCAAGGTGCAGGAGGGGGGCCCTGGGGCTGCTGCTGCAGAAGGCAGCCAGGGGGCCTTCACTCACGTGCTCGGCTCTGAAACCTCCCTGCTTTTCTTTTCTTTTTTATATATATGGATTGACTCTTCTTGCACAAGGCAATAAACTGGCCTCAGGTTGCCTTCGCGGGGGCAGAAGAGAGTGGCAGGAAGTTTGCTTTGCCCAGGCTGTGGCTGACCGCTTGCTCCCCAGATCGGATGTGAAAGGAATGGACTTCTGAAATAGGGCTGATCCAGTTGCCATTCTCAAGAGACAGTCACAGTGACCCCCGCCCCCCCATCCCCCCCCCACACTGTCTCTTTAAAAAATCCCTTCCGGTCTCTATGCAGGGTGTGGAGGGGGGTTTCCTTTCCCCTTCTCCTCGCGAGGGCTTTGATCGTCATGCCCTTCGAGGCATATCCAGTGGAGGTCATCCAAGGATGCAGGATTCTCAGGACTCCACAGATAAATATTTGTTTTAATTTCCATTTTTTTAAATAAATCTCACTCTGCCCACTTTCTTTTTTGCCACAAGGGTAGAATGCTTAATATTGTTTAAAGCAGATAAGGGGATTCTCCAGTGTGTGGGTGATCGTTGTATCTACAGGGGATCTTACCCATGTCCTGAATAGACGGGAATGGTGCCCACCCCAGCACAAAGTTTTTTTTCCCCAAACCTTCCACCTATTTTAAATGCAGGCTTCCCAGCTTTCAGCATGGTTTCAGTGTGTGTGGGTCACAGGGCAGGAACTTTTCCTATTAAACCTCCCTCCAATGTGCTGAGCTGCCTGCGAGGCTCGGGAGGGAGAGGGCACGGACCCCCTTCCAAGGGCCTGGGAAAGGCAAAGCGGGCCAGCCGGGGGGGGGGGCTGAACCCAGCTCTTGAGCAACGTGGAGTCCAGGGCCACTGGCGGCGGGGGGGGGGGGAGGGATCTGAGCTGCACTTGCCCCTTTCTCACTCAGGACTGTGTCATGGAAATTAGTTTCCTGTGAGGAAATAGCATGGTGGTGTGTATTTTTGCCATGCACACGCACACACTCTCTCTCTGGGGAGCCTCCATCAGCATTAACTTCCTTCCGTGTGTAAATTGGCAAAAAAAAAAAAAAAGGTGCGTAGCAGACACACATCCAATGGGAGTTTTGCCACCTCCCCCACTCCTTGGTTGTGATCTCTCCCTTTTTTTCGTGGTCCGCCCTGCCCCCCCCCCAACCTTAGGTGGGCGCTCAATGGCAAGAGACTCTGGGAAGGCAGAACCAGGTATCTCACAGGGCTGAGCAAACTCCAAGGTCTGTGAGCGGCCCAAAACTTGGGGGGAGGGGGACGGGGACAGAGAGGAAGGCTGACCAAATGTCTTGTTGGGCACCTCTATCTAGCTCTCAAGCTTTCTCTTCTTTGTTCTCATCAAAAAAACTTTTTTATTTTAAGGTTTTGATTTGTAAATAACTAGTCTGTTTTGGAAGAAATAATGTAAAACTGTTTTGTATAAACTCTGGATTATTTTCTGGTTGCTTTTTCTTAGAAAAAAGAAATAAGAACTTAAAAAAATAACCACAAGAACGGGTGTAAACCATTTGTCATTCTGCATTGAGTGGAGAAGTGAGGGGGGACCCCTCCGTCCACAGGGGCCCCCACGTGTGTCCGTGCTCCTTGGGTGGGCAGGTGGCTGCTGGATGGTTCAGGCACATTTTGGAAGAAGACCTCCAGAGCCACACACACACCCCAAGAAGGAGCAGTAGCGTGGACCGGGCACGGGTCATTTGCTGTGTGGTTCTCTGTCACTGGGAGCCAAAAGCTCTTGCTGGCTAGAAGTGGTTGAAACGGCAGGTTTGACTTCATTTCATATCCCAGCATCCATCAACATTTTGACCAAAATCAAGTGATCTGATTGAGCAATCAAGGTGGAGCAGGGCCTCCAAAGCCTCTGGGAGCCACAGCCCCGTGCAGAGCAGGGCACACGGAGTCACATTCGTTCAGTACCACCTGTAAACCATTGGCTCTCTGCATCTGTACTTCCAACTTACATTGCCACTTTACCTGCTGTGACTTCCCCGGAGGATTCTGGGAACTGTAGTTTGGTGAGCTGCTGAGAATTCACTGGACTCCTAGTAAGAGGATGTGAATGCTAAATCAGTTTAAGTTTGTAGGGTGGATTTTGGAGCCTGTTCTGTTCAAATGTGGCAAATTCAGGCATACTTCTAATGTCCTCAGTTGTTTCAGAGGAAGGAGGGAAGTTGATGCAGCTCACAACTAACTACAGGATTTCACACTGGGTCGGCAGCAGTACACATTCGTGGCCCATCTGCCAAGGTGCACCTGTTCTATGCAGTCTGGAATGTGGCTGAGTCCGTTGAGCATATAAGGACGTAAGATGCCCACTTCACATCAGCATGGTCGTGGGAACATTAATGTTGGCACTTGTGCCAGGGTAACCCTTAACTACGCAGTTGCTTGCTGTTGGGTCCTCTCAGGTCAGAGTTGTTGCAGACACAAGCAGATTATCTCACTGCCAGTGTCTGGAGCCATTTAGAGTCCCCCAAAGGCGACTGGAGGCTGCCCTCCCTAGATTGCATTTTTCTTCCATCCCTGACTGACTTCCTTGCATAAGTCTTTGTTTCTAAGAGCACAAGCTAAGTGGTAAGTCACACGGCTAATACTATGTTTGCAGAGTCCTTTGGAGTGGAACAG